TGATAGTGAAATGAACTTTAGGACTGTAAATCCCTGCCCTAGATAATCTTGTTTTTGGCTATTGTGTTCCACTATTGCACGGATGTCAAATTCGCCATGTCACATTGCTGTCACGTGACAGTTTTCCCCTTCATGGAGCTGGGGTGGGCGTGGCCTACGCATCCGGTCCACAGGCCGCCAGTTTGCACTATTGCTTCTTTCTATTTTCACTATGGCCAATACCTATTTCACAGAAACAAAAACGTATCTACAATTAAACCTGGTTACTGTAAAATGGGTGAAAGACAAAAGGTTTCCTTCATCCAGTCGTGTCCGACTCGAGGGCATGGTACTCATCTGTTTCTTAGCTGAGGCAACCAGCATTGTCCAAAGACAATGTGGTCATGTAGCCAACCTGACTATATGCCAAAGGCCCACGGAACGCTGTTACTTTCCCACTGAAGTGGTACCTGTTGATCTACTTGCATTTGCATGTTTCCGAACTGCTAGGTGGGCAGGAACGTAAAATAAGTTGTATGAATTAATGGCCAAACAAGAGCAGTGACAATGAAATTTCTCTTTTTGGTAGGTAAGAGCATAATGTACTCCATAAGAGTGTAGACATTGAGTGTCTTCTCCCTTTTTATATATACTTCAAAGCATTGTTATTTCACTCAGGAAAGAGCTGCTATGAAACAAGATGGAGGGAGGAATGTATTAGTGAACTGACAGACCAGTACCTTTTGTAATATATTCCTTTACCTTAATGGTAATATTTTACCAAATGCAGATACATGGGTAATATCTAGAGAAGCAAGCAGAGCAGATTTATAGCATCAGATTCGGATACTCGCCCCAAAGATGAGAGCCAGCAATTAACACCTCTCAAATAGGATACAACAGAGTTAGTCTTCACTTTACCAGTGGCAACTGGGACGTGGAACTCCATTGTTAAGTGAGGTAGTCATAAAGTGAAAAATCACGTGGCTATGCCCAACTTAAGACAATGATATGTTAATTCCATCTCTGGCTATTAAGCGAATCACCTACGGCCATTAAGCACGTCATGTGGCCACAACCTGTAACTTCCTACAGGTTCCCTATTTTACTTCGTTGGAAGCTGGCTATGAAGTTTGCAAATTGTGATCATGCAACTGCGGGATAATGCAACAGCCAGTAGTAAATGCATTCTGGCTGCCAAGTGCCCAGAGCACAGTTATGTGATCAGAAGGACACAGTGACAGCTACAACTTCAAGAACTGGTTGTAACTCTCCTTATTTAGCCTTGTAGCTTCAAACTGTCTCAGCAAGTCGCTAGTAAGGGAGGGTACTTGCACTGATGCTTTAAACCTAGTGCAAGCAATGGCTATGTATAGTAGAACCATACAATAGCGTTGGCATGTTGGCCAATAGTGTAGAGGAGGAGTGTCCAACTCAAGGCCTGGGGGCCAGATCAAGCTTGCGGGGTGCTTAGATCTGGCCTGAGGGGCCACCCCGGAAACAGCAAAGGACCGGCCCACAGTGCCTTTGCCAGTGAAAATGGGGCCCTCCCGAGCTCCGTTTTCTCTACAGAGGGTTGAGGAGGCTGTCACAGCCGAAAACTGAGTTTGGGAGCCCATTTTCTCTCATAGAGTTCTCTGGCCACCACAGGCACACATCCTGCCCCCCCGTCCCCCCCCCACAAGGTCAAACACAATCCATATGTGGCCCTCAATGAAATGGAGTGACATCCCTGGTGTAGAGTGTCCCCCAGGTTCTTAGATTTGTTGGTAAAGTGGGAGACAAGCTTAGATCTTATGTACATGACTGTTTTCTTTCTTTTTTTGTCTCTTTTTAGCTAAGTTAAATAAGTATGGAGATGTTTGGGAAGAGTGAAAATTTCGAACTTCCTCAAGACCCGTCTTTGCTTCATTATTTCAGCTTAATCACTGTTGGTCAAACAGCTGAATGTTCTACTGCGAAATGGAAATGTAATACCTGTGCAATAAAGATATATTTGTTTCCCTTTTTCACAGAAATATTGTTAACATGAAGGTGTCTTAAAATGGAAAGTATCTTTTGCTTTGGACCCAGGACAGAAGTTCTGATGGACTGGTCTGGAGTAACTGCAGTTAACCAAAAACAAAATCTGGAATGTTTTTGTTGCTCCCGTTTTCAGTTAAAGCAAAACATACAGAGAGCCTGGAATAATAATAATCCCAGCTGCCTTCTCCTGTGTGCTCATATAGCCTTTACCTCCATTCCAGTTGTGATAACCCGGGGCGTGGCACAAAGGCAACATAGATAATCAGTAGGAGTCCCTTTATTATCTCCAACTTTGCCCCCCAATGGCCTGGTTACCTTCCGGCTGGAGAAAAGCTCTCCCAGGAACAGCCTTTGGCTGCAGAGAATCAAGTCCAAAACATGGTCAACAAAAACTGTAACTATAAGTCCAATCAAGGCAAAAATGAGGTAATTAGTCCGGCAGGGCAGAAGGAATTCCAGATGTGAAGGCATGGCAAAAACTCGACACATTTGGGAGGATGCCAGGAACGCAGATAACCAAAGTACACACAACATAAGCTCACTTTTGTTCCCAGCAGACGCCGCACTCAGCTTGTATCTTTTAAATTATTCCCAGATGTGGCTAATGAAGGGAATCAGGGCCCTTTCCTCCCCCATAAGCCATGCAACCCATGTTTCTCCCTTCTCTATTCCTCCCTACGTGCCCTAGGATGAAGAGAGGGTGGGCCTGGGTCTTTGAATTCCCTCTCCCTTGTTCTATCTCTCCCCTGCTCTGCTCTGCCCAGCCGCACTTTGCCCTTCCCCAGTTTCCTCCACAGCCAACGGAGCCACACTAGCACTCCCTGTAAGCTGTTCGGATTCAGACTCCGACAGAGGCATGACACCAGTGTTTTTCAATTTTGGTAACTTTTAAGATGTACGGAATTCAATGCGCAAGTTCCCCCAAGCCAGCATGCTCTCTCAGTTGAGAAATACTGCTTTACAATAGGAGATAGGCAGTCCCAGCACTTGTTCATGAGCTCAAAGAATAGGCTAGTGAGGTTTAGGAGTCACTTCCATCTTGATTGTCCTAAGCCATTTAGAACTTTTAAGAGCCAGGATGGTGTAGTTCGAACACAGTATTGCAGGCTAACTGCCTGCTGTCAAATGTTTGATCCTGACCGCTCAAGATGGGCTCAGCCTTCCATCCTTCTGAGGTTGGTAAAAGGACTTAGATTGTTGGGGGCAATATGCTGACTCTGCAAATTGCTACAGAGGGCTGTAAAGCACTGTGAAGCGGTATATAAGTCTAAGTGCTATTGCTGTTACTCTTTAAAGGTCAAAACTACCACTTTGAATTAGGTCCAGAAACAGACTGGTAGTCACGGGTAGGTGGCCATAATATGTACTGTATTAACTAGTCCCAGTAAGCAGACCGACTGCTATATTTTCAGTTAATTGACATTTCCATGTATAACAGATTGCAGTAATCCAACTCGGAAGTTACCAGAGCATGAATAATTTGGCAGGGCTATCAGAGTCGATAAATCAGCCAAAAATGATAAAATGTCCTTTGCCTACTGACAGCGATGGATTTAGGACTCCAAAAAGTGAGCTTACTCTTTTAGGACAAACGGACCCTCCAGACCGGCAGGGCACCGATCAGCTGGACAGACGTACCACCTACATACAGTATTTCTCATTTTCTCAATTGAAATTCAGTTTATTGGCCCTCCTCCAGTCTGTTACCCTGCCCAAGTGTACCTTGAATCATCACCTTCATTCAGAACACCAACTATTTCACCTGTGTGAGATGAAAAGGAGAGGTAATGCTAGGTATCATTTGCATGCCCAGATTACCTCTCCCAGCAATCACATGTAGACATTCAAGGGCGTGAGAGAACATGGAGCCTTAAAGGACTTCATAACCAACCCCCCTGAGGCAGGAGACTAATCTCTCAGTATCACCTTCTGGAAATGGCCATCGAAGTAGGAACAGAACTACTGTATCCCTGTATCTCAACTCAGGGAGCCTGCCTAGAAAGATAACCATGGTTATTGGTATTGAAAGCAGTTGAGAAGTCCAGGAGGACCAACAGGGTTGCACTTCCATTTTTATCCCAGTTCAGATCATCCCAAAAAGATGAAGACCAAGACTGAATAGCCAGCTAAATAGCTAAATTCTGGTGCAGTCCATCAAGAAGGATGAGGCTTTCTCCTCACAAGTAGTCTGGCCCACCTTCTCTGTTCCTGCCTTTTCTCTGCCCTAGGTGTCCTTGGGATCGGGTGCAGAAGGCAGTTCCTCCTCCTCATGGAATGGCTCTAGTTGCATGCTTTCCCCACTTAGAGGCCTCAGCCAAATCTGTTACCAACTGCTGCTCAGAGACATCAATCAAACTCAGCTCCTGACATGCCAGGAACTGGTTTATCCTCCCCCGAGCTGACATCTAGAGAGGTATCTGGAGAAGCGTCCGGGGGGGGGGGGGGGATCATCACAGAATCCATCTTATCTAATGGGATTATTATTTTTTTGCCAGAAAATGGCAAAAAACCATTGCGAAATATGATCACGTGACTATGGGACCTGCAACAGAGTGTAAATGTGAGAAGGTTGCCAATCACCTGAAATGTGATCATGCAATTGCTGGGTTGGTGCGGCAATCGTAACTTTGAGGATGAGTGGTAAGTAACATTTTTTGGAGGCCATTGCAACTTCACATGGTTATTAAGTGACCCATTGTCAATTGAGGCCTCCCTGTACTTAAATAAATTTCATACTCCCAAAAATTGATTTGTAGCCACAAACTCAGCACTCACAATGCTTATGGCACTTCTTTACAGACATGCACATCATTTGAGTCACCTGATACACAGCTGTTCCCAGCTGAGGCGTCGGCATTTGCCAATTTGGTGTTCGCAGCGATTTTACAGAACATGAACACTGCGAGTAATGAGAATTCTCTGTATTTAGAGAAAATAAGCAGATTTACCAATACACAAAATAATCACTTTATTCCAATATTCATAATTCTGTACAGTGTCTTCGCATAAGAGTGGGGATACATTAATGTGAGCAAAATATTAATTTTGTTAATGTGTGCTTGTTTTAAGAAACAGAAGTATCTGTTTTTTTCATTTGAGGATTGGCTTTGGCTTCATCTGTAGGATAATGTTTCCTAAAAGGATTAGGAGCAGATAAAAAGATTGAATTCTGGTTTATTTAAAAAAAGTCAATGTTATAAAATTATAGCATGGTCATTTTTATTTCTGGAATTACAAAAAGTGCCTTAAATAGCAGGTTTATGGAGCAGTAATAGGTAAACAGCTGTCATTCATTTATCACATGTTTCTATTACATTGAATCTGTTCACTCTGAATAGTTTTATCAAATCAGTACTACGGTTAGAGTTAAAAACATACAATAAAGCACAACACAGAAATAACACTAAGCTCATCTCCACTCTGGCGTGATGCAATTTTGTTGGGATAATAGTCACTAGTCAATTTTCCATTCTTTCTCCATCAACCGTCCTAAAGAGCTATTGTCTATGCTTATCAGTTTCCTGAATGCAGTACATTGGCCTCTGTATGACACAAAATGTTACACTAGGCAAGTCACTGCAGGCTCAAACAAGTCTAAAGTCCAATAGTTATTCCCAAAAATACTAAATAAGATAGAAGACAGACTCGAGTTTCAGAAGGGATCTTCATAGGCTTGAGCAATAGGGCCTAGCCAACAAGATGCAGTCCAGTGGGTAAAGGTCCTGCAGTTAGGCTGGAGAAACTAAATGCCCAGGTAGAGAATAGGAGGTACCTGGCTCAACAGCAGGTAACTGAGGGATCTAGGTGTCCTAGTAGATCACTGCTTAAGCATGAGATAGCAATGTGCTGCAGCTACCAAATAAGCCAATGTAGTCCTAGGCTTCATCAACAGTATCAAGTGATAGTACTACTCTATACTGCACTGGTAAGGCCACATTTGAAATACTGCATCCAATTCTGGTCACCCAAAAAGATCCTGAGACCCTAGAACAATGGTGGCTAACCTTTTTGGGCTCCTGTGCCAAAAATTGTGCGTGTGCTTGCATTCTTGCGTGCCAGTACCCAGAAGGCAATGCGCCCTCCACCCCCTACGCATGCACATGCAATCCATCCACCCGCCCCGCCGCCCCTGTATCTGCACTGCACCTCACAACTGATGTTCGGCCAGTTTGAGACCTTTTTCGGGCTCCCAAAGGCTTGAGGAAGGCTTCTGCAGGCTTTGTAGGCCGAAAACTAGCCCCGTTTCGTCACTTCCTGTTTTTCTGAAAATACCGGAAGTGATGAAACAGGGCTAGTTTTCGGCCTGCAAAGCCTGCAGAAGCCTTCCTCAAGCCTTTGGGAGCCTGAAAAAGGCCTCAAACCGGCCGAAAATCAGCTGTGAGGCGCGCGCATGCGCAGTGAGGTAAGTTTGCCTGCAGCTTGTGTGCCACCTGTGTGCCACGCGTACCATAGGTTCACCATCATGGCCCTAGAAAGAGCGCAGAGAAGAGCAACAAAGAGGATAAGTGGTCTGGAGGCTAAACTAGTGTATATGAAGAATGGTTAAGTGAACAAGATAAGTTTAAGCTTAATGAAAAGAAAGCTTAGGGGTGACATGATAGCCATCTTCCAATACTTGAAGGGCAGGCACAGAGAAAAGGGTTTCAATTTATTCTCCAAAGCACCTGAGGGCAATGCAAGAAGCAACAGGTGGGAAGCTCATCAGGGGAAGACTCAATCTGGAACTAATGAGAAATTTCCCAACAATGAGAACAATTAACCGATGGAATAGCTTGCCTCCCAGAGTTGTAGCTGCTTCATCTCTGAAGTTTTTAAAGAAAAGATTGGACAGCCATTTGCCCAGGATGATGTAAGGACTTCTGCTTTGGGAAGGGAGTTGGACTAGTTCCCCAACCTTTCTGGGTTGGTGGTCCAGAGTGGGGCGGGGTGGGAGGGGCAAGTACCTTTACGCATACATGCACTGTCAGAGTATATTCATGAACTGGAATAGAGCTTAGTAACAAGGTCAACCAACAAAGGATGAGTTGAGGGCTGAAACTTAAAGAGAGAATCTGGATGTGGTTTATCTCTGTTCTGTGTTCAGCTCTAAAGTGAAAGAGAAACTAACTTGTTTGCTTGTCTGCTGAAGTTGAGTTGCTGTTCTGCTCTGAACCTGTAACATATCTGCTGTTTTGAGTTTGCTCCATGTTGGAGAAATCTACAACTGGTATTGTAAAATTTACTTGTGTTTATAAAGAAGTTAAATGAAGCCTCAGCCATCTGTGTTTACTTTTCTGGTGCTGAATTTGCACTGCAATACTCTGAACATGCATATGCATGAACGGGGCCGTGAGAGCAAATGGGGCCATGAGCGATCATGGGACGGGATGACGCTAGTGCCCGTGTGATGCTAATGGTGACACTAGCGCGAGGGGGTCAGCCATTCATGCAGGCCGGTGGCCAACAGACCATGCCTCAATAATGGGCCATAGCCCGCAGGTTGGGCACCCGTGGCCTGTGAGACTTCCAAGGACCCTGCCAGCCTTATGATTCTGATTGTTCTCTTCTCAATCTTGTAAAAAGTATTCAAACTAGGAACATAACCTGAGAGGAACTGAGTCGGATTCAGGATCCCCTTATTAAACATCAACAGGGATTCATCTTAATTCTCCCTCAGTAGTCCCATTTCCATCTACATAAAGTAACACTTGAAAAGTTCTTTGAAAACTATGGTATTACTCCGATGTAATGTTAAACTGCATTTTCACAGTACAACTCCTAAGCCCAAAGCTTGGATTCATCCAGTTTCCTCCTTCTTTCACACACAATGACACAAATCATAAAAGATATGATGGTTGAATTCCAAATCCCATATGATTTGTTAATAACACAGGGAAAGGAAGAAGAGAGGGTAAGGGAGAGGATGAAGACTCTTGAATGCAGGAGTTTGGTGGCACAGTGGTTAGAATGCAATATTGCCCAGCAAATCCCACCAAGCTCAAGGTTGACTCAGCCTTCCATCCTTCCAAGGTGGGTAAAATGAGGACCCAGGTTGTTGGGGGGTAACCTGCTTAGAGAGGGACCGTAAAACTCTGTGAAGTGGTATATAAGTCCAAGTGCTATTGCTATGCTCTTCCAATTTTACTGAAAGACCAAAAGGCAGAAACAGGTAATCCACAAAAATAACTGAACCATCTCACCTCAGTGTTTCTCAGCCACAACAACTTTAAACTGTGGGACTTCCAGAATTCCCTAACCAGCATGCTGGCTGTGAAGAATTCCAGAAATTGAACCACACATCTTAAAGCTGCTAAGATTGAGAGACACTGCTCTAACACCCCCCCCCCCAAACTATCATTGTAATTATGAATTCCAAACAAACCTGTTCTGTTCCGGTCCGAATGGCACAAGAAGACTTTCAAAACTCTGTGTACATTTTTTAGCATATAACATTTTCCCAACAAAAAACGCCACAGCACCAACAACTATAAAGGAAAAGCAACGGCATCAGTAACCTGCAATGAATTTTCCTCATATATATATATATATATATATTTTGGTGTCCTGCATTGACCTATAATGTGAGAAATCTGCTTTTAACAGTGTTTCATTGAGGGTCATTTTGAGAGCGGGCATTAGAAATGCGTTGGCCCATTCGTCCAACGGTGTTAAAGTTGGATTCTTCTCACAATTAAAACCTCACTGCACGAAGCAACAGGCCTCACAGTGCCCAGGCTATGTCATGCCCCTGGTAGAGACTGACTGAGGGAGAGGAGGAACAGCTAACAGGGAGTGGAAATGTGGCTCTGGAGGTGGTGGAGGAGGCTGGGGAAGGGCAGAGGCCGGCTGGGCAGTCAGAGGAAGACCCAGGCCCATCCCCTCTTCATTCTAGGGCACGCAGGGAGGAAAGAAGAAGGGAACAACATGGCTTACGGGAGAGGAAACGGCCATGATCTCCCTCATTGGCTGCAGCTGGGGGGAATAGTATAAAGGAGGGGCGTTTAAAACACAGCGTTGCTAGAAGCAAAGCGTGTTTTATTTCTGGCTGAGGTTTATCTTGGTTGGCATTCTTCCAATGGACTGTGCCTTGTTATCTTCTTGAAGTTTGTAATTAAATATCCTGGTCTGTCGTGGAAATTCCTTCAGTGAGGTTTGTTTTGGTTTTTTATTTCTCCGTTATCTGTTCTTTGAGTTTGGACTGTATTTATTTCTGCTGGAGACTATTTTGGAAAGAGTTTAATCTCCAACTGCGAACAATTGAACAGTGGGGCCAAGTTGGAGGCATTACAGGAAATTTATTTACGTTTGGGAATTTATTACTTCTGTGCTGCTTCCTGGGTCATCATAGGCTATAAATATTTTTAATGAAATAGGCAAGAATCTGGGGGCTACAGATTCTTAATTTATAAAAATAGCAATTATTTTAAAATTCTCAGCACAACTACAGGTAGTTTTCGGATTACCACAGTTTGTTTAGTGACCATTCAAAGTTACAATGGCACTGAAAAAAAGGACTAAAACCTTTTTCACACTCATGACCATTGCAGCATCTCCATGCTCGTGTGATCAAAATGCAGATGCTTGGCAACTGACTCATATTTATGACGGTTGCAGTGTCCTGGCGTCATGGGATCTCCTTTTGCAACCTTTTCTGACAAGCGAAATCAATGGGGAAACGGATTCGTTTAACAACAGTTGTTGCCAACTTAACAACTGCAATGTTCAGATTCAACCGCTGTGGCAGGAAAAGCCATAAAATGGGATAAAGGTTATTTAACAACGGGCTTGCTCAGCAACAGAAATTTGTGGCTCCATTGTGGTTGTAAGCTGAGGACTAACTGTATACAATCTGCTAAAATTTAAACACTTCTAAGTTCTCTTGGAATAAAGGAATGTATAGTAAACCTTGAAGAGAGTATGCAGGAATAGTTAGGAAAATAAAAATAATTCAGTGATGGGGAAGGAAACAGTAACTCCAAATAATCCTGACTTGATTTGGTTTGATGTAAGATGGACAGAGGGAAAACTTGATCAGGACTTGGTCACTTTTCAAGATTCTGTTATTCTGTCAGAGGTGGATATTCAGCAGGTTCTGACCAGTTCTGGAGAACCGGTAGCCGAAATTTTGAGTCGTTCAGATAACCAGCAAATACCACCTCTGACTGGAGATTTTACAGTATCCTTCTCCTGCCCCACGCCCACCAAGCCATGCCCATAGAACCGGTAGTAAAAAAATTTGAATCCCATCACTGCTAACTCTATCCTACAACAATGATGGCATTTCTGGAATCTTTAACCTGTTTCCTACTAGTCCTTTTTTAAAGGGCTGATATATGCATTCCCCACATGCTCTATGTTTGAGTGCAAATATGGTCGGCAACTTTAAGACTTCAACTCCCAGAATTCCTCAGCCAGCCATAGTCACCTTAACGTTGCCAAAGTTGAGAAACACTGCATAAGAGAGATGTCCATTTTACTAAATATAGACTAAACCCTTTTTATTTTTTTCCTGCTGTAACTTCACAGCCGTTCAAAACTTACCAACTACTGTATTCGTAGAAGCAGTCTTGATAATCCCTAGAAAAAGAAATCATTTTTAAAAGAAGATTTTTAGGCCAAGTTGAAATATGGACCAGGTTTGCACATTCAGCAAGTGACTTGCTGAATGACAGCAACAACTAACCATCTTTTCTTTTATGTACACTGAGAACTTATATACTGGAGGCAAATTCCTTGTGTGTCCAATCACACTTGGCCAATAAAGAATTCTATTCTATTCTATTCTATTCTATTCTATAATTCCACTCAATTAGATCATGTCAAGGACTACCTTGACTTATTGCTTTAAACCGTTACTTTAAACCAAAAGCAACCTTGCTTGGTTAATGGATTACAAAAAAGTACACTCTGCCTCTTCTAGCTGCCATACCTGTCACAATTGATCAAAAATCAAGACATGAGAAATATTACCACTTAAATACATTTATTAAGCTGGAAGTCCAACTGTAACGTGCACTTGTAAGAAAGAAAACAAAAAGGCTAGATTGTTAATGACTAACATAATGAAACATTTTTAACAAAAAGATAAAAAGGAAATATTGCAAACCAACATTACAATGATTCCTGTAGACAAACTTTAAAGGGATGGTACTTAAATCGTTACTTTCCAACACACTTTTTTTTCAGATTAAACATGAACATGAAATTAAAAATTGTATATATTTTATTCCTCAAAACCTATTTCCTCTAGCTCTGTGATGGCGAACCTATGCTGCATGTGCCACGGGCACGCTAGCCCCAGACAAATTTACCTGCACTGCGCATGTGCGTGCCTCCCAGCTAATTTTCAGCTTCCCAGAGGCTCAAGGGAAGCCTCTGCAGCCTTTGGAGGCCTAAAAACAGGCCCATTTGTCACTTCCTGTATTTCTGGAAATACCGGAAGTGACAAAACAGGCCCATTTTTCAGCCTCCAAAGGCGGCAGAGGCTTCCCTCAAGCCTCTGGGAGGCCTAAAAACAGGTCAAAAATCAGCTGGGAGGCGCGCGCATGCTCAGTGCAGGTAAGGGGGTGGTGGGGAAATCGTGTGCACTTGTGTAGGGGGCGGGGGGGGGGGGCGCCGGCACAGGAGCCCAAAAAGGTTAGCCACCACTGCTCTAGCTGTTGAAGGCAATAGTATGGGCAGCTGAAAGTCTGTAGATTCACTACAGAAGTCATTATTTCACGACCGATATTAAAAAAATGTCTCTGAAAGACATGTTTTCTCAATCGTGGGACAAATGTGCCCAGATTACACACGTTCTCTCCACATAAAATTTTTATCAGTCCACCTTTTTACAGTTCCATTGTTATATAGATTAGGGGTTTTCTCCTAACGCTTCTTTCATGGAAATGGTCAGTCACTGATCGTTTTGCAAAATTCACCACATCTTTTTAACTTTAAAAAAAATCTACTTACCTTTAGTAATTAGTCCTTGAGTAATAAGCATACTTGCAAGAGATAGAGGAAGCGCTGTAAACAAACATTGCAACAAACAATTTCAGCCTGGGTCTTCATTCCCATGAGCCCCCACTCCCAGTGAAGCAGCAGATGAAACTTTACAACATCCTGGCCTTTTCTGAATTTGCTAATCATAGGTGCCCAGTTTATAAAAGAAATTTAGGAAACTTAGTATTAGAAGTTTTCATCTGGCTGTCTGGTGGCAGTTGTTAGAATGCAGCATTGCAAGCTAACTGCAACTGCCAGCAGTTCGAGTCTTACTGGGTAAAGGTTGACTCAGCCTTCCATCCTTCCAAGGTTGGTAAAATGAGGACCCAGATTGTTGGGGGCAATATATTGACTCTGTAAACTGCTTAGAGAGGGCTGTAAAAGCACCATGAAGTGGTATATAAGTCTAAGTGCTATTGTTATCATGAAAGGATGATTTGGTAAGCATCTGGAAGCAATATCTCTAATTCAGTGTTTCTAAACCTTAGTAACTTTTAGATGTGTGGACTTCATGCTAGCTGAGAAATTGTGGGACTTGAAGTTCATATGTCTTAAATTTGCCAAGGTTGAGAAACACTGCTCTACTTAGAAAAAAAAACCCATCTAAATCCATCACTGATACCATTGGGGATAGTGATTACAGCTTCTTTTTATGGAAATGAGTTAGATAAGACGCAGTCATCTTTTTCTTCCTTCCCTTCTACAAATATGATTGCAAAGAAATCTGAGACATTTCCTTCCAGTTTGGTTCTTTAATTTTTATATCTGAACCAAGACTAGCCTTAGCTAGAGCTTGCAGAAACAAATGAACTTCAAACTTTAGTCAATGAAAAATAGTTTAAATAAATTACCTTTTAAAGTAAGAATAAACTATGGTAAATTAAAAATGGAAGCAAACGTTTCTGATCTTGTGGTCCCCACTGGAGGTGTGAAAAAATAGTTGGGTACGGGAGCACTTTTTCTGACTAGCAAATTTAATCAAAAGGCATAAGCTTTTGTGGGCTGAAGCTCATTTCATCAGATGTACAGAGAAGCTAAACTGATGTAGGATTTAAACTGATGTAGGATGGTGGGAAGTGGAGCAGAATAGGTTGCTTAAATCAAACAGCATTTCTTATAATGAAGAAGACAATATGTCTCCAAATGCAGTCACTGAAAATATCATTATTGGAATGGAATCTTGGTTTGGGATTTAAATCCTGTGAAATACGGGAGGATACTCAGATTACTGGGGGTCAGAGATAGGGGAGGGGACAATGCTGGGAGACAAATGTTTATACAGGAAAATGCATGTAGAGAGGAAGAATAACTGCATGCATAACTGTATGTAATTATTATGGATGAGTAAACTAAAGTTACTATTCATCACATTTTGGGTTTTCAAATTATTTTCAGTGAGTAATTTTGGTTGTTTCCAATTTTTAAAAAGTACAAAGGAAAATTTAGGTATTTTTATTGCCTGCAAATTACTGAGAGTCTTACCAGACTATAGCAGATACCTATGGAAGGAAATAAATAAAAGGCATGTACATTTTACAGCTCCTGTCAAGTAATGGATATGGTCTTTGGAGGGAACATGTTGTCAATTCCAAATATTAGCAATCCTCAGGTGGACTTGACAACAGTAGAATAAAGAAATACAAACCAAAATACAATTATATTTCTTCTTGTACCAGAACAAAGGAATATACCTCTGTACCAGAAGCTTTCTTCTTTACATATTTGATTGATATTTTCAATCTCTTCCCCACTGATGCTTCTTGGATAACCGAATAGATTCTGGAAATAAAAATCTAAATAAATAAGAGTATGAGAACAGCATGTTGAACTAAAAGAATAAAATATTGTGGGGTTTTTTCCTATGCTAAAACAGAAAATTCTTGAAGATGTAGAACATTATGATCTATGATTTAGTTGATCATTACCAGTTGAATATTATTAAAAACTCATAAAACAAGTCAGTTTAAAAAAGTTAAAAGTTTGGGAAGAAAATAGCGCAATTTAGAGTTAATATAATAATGTTGTATTATTATTATTACTACTACTATTATTATTATTATTTTGCTGCTAAAATACAATTATAATTGTTATGATGCAACATCACAAGAGAGGTTGTTCAACCTTTGAACCAGGGCAGAAATGAATCTCTGCAGAGAAGAAAGGACCAACCTGAGTCATATTTTCTGTTGAAGAGGCCTCAGTATCTTCTGGAGTAGAATCCATGTTTCTTTAGTGGTTCCAGGAAATCTGAGCACCCGAAACGTGAGTGTCCTACGAGAACAGAATTCACAAAATATAGTCGACTGTGCATTTTAAGAAAACTTCGAAAGCCCTTTTTGCTATATGGTTAGCATAATTCTGACTTTGAAGACCACCCAGAGGTTTCTATTCAGGGGTGGGATGCTACTGGTAACATAATTACCGAATCGGTAGTAACACCGGTTGAATCCCACCCCTCCTTCTATTGGTCACACAATGACGAGCATAACTCGGGGTGATCGTATTACACCACTGCTTTGTGAGCTGCAGTCTGCTTCCAAGTGCCATTCAAGGTGCATGTTTCTACCTGGCATGCAACCTGGTTAATCTGTAGGACCACCTGTCTCCCCCTACTAGCTGCCTGGCCAATTCCATCTTGTAAGGGTTGGCAGGCCCTGGCTTCCTCTGATTAAATAATGCCCATCTATCAAGGCCTGCCCTCTGGAATGAGGTTGTCCTCAGGATAGAAACCACTCTGGTCTGGTGGAGTCAGGAGAACCTCTGGGGGAAATTCTGTTGTTTAAATAACTCAGGGATCTCCAAACTTGGCAACTTTTGAGACTTGTGGACTTCAACTTCCAGAATTCCTCAGCCAGCAAAGTTGGCTGAGGAATTCTGGGAGTTGAAGTCCACAAGTCTCAAAGTTGCCAAGTTTGGAGACCCCTGAAATAAGTCATGCTGTTCAGGACACCAGATGGTCAAGCGCCTTTTTGTTATTTTTTGCTGCCACACATTCACGCGGCCAAAGCTCTCGTAATGGTTCCTTGCCCGGTTTTAAGTCAACAGGAGAGTTCCTCGACCTTGGGCAGCTTTTAAGGCATGGCTCTATACACAGCACAGGTGAAGGAGGATAGCACCCCCACTTTTTTTTAACTTCTGGACTTCAACTCCCAGAATTCCTGAGCCAGCGGGCATAGCCGGGCTCAGCGGGAATGGCCGGCTCAGGAATTCTGGGAGTTGAAGTCCAGAAGTTAAAAAAAAAAAGGGACTGTCGTTTCCCTGCTCTACAGGAATATATAATGTACTATAATACGCCTTATATATTGGCACGCTGGGAAGAAGCAGGCGCCGCTATCGAAGCGTGCAACGGGAGGGGAGTGTCGCTCCATTCAGCCCCACTCCTCGCCTCAAGGGGCACCTTTGCAGGGCAAGGCTTATTCGGGCGGGCGGTCAACCCCTCGCCGTCTCTCTCTCTCTCTCTCTCTCTCCCGGCTTCCCTACCTTTCCCCCGGGTGCCCTCCCAGCTTCTCCCCGCCTCTCCCACCGTTTTCCTCCACCCTCCCACCGCTCGGGGTCGCCTCGACCTGCGGCGGGACCCGCCTGTAGAGAAGGGGCGCCTTCACGACTAGGCCAGGCCCCTCAGCGGGTTTTGTCCTGCGCTGAGGCCGCCCGGGGGGGCGTGGCGAGGGGGCGTGGCGGATAAGTTGGGTCTCTCGGATTGGTTGAGAAGCGGGGCGGTCGTTTGCAGCATCTCTTTGCGAAGAGGCGGGAGGGGTTGCCGCAGGGAGGGAAGAAAGGACTGAGGGGATTGGATTTGTGTCGGAGTTACGGGTGTTATGACGATCTGCAGCTACCCCACCTAGGTCTAGTAGCAGGTCTTGAGCTGAACTAGAAGACCATCAACTCTGATGGTGTTCTGTGCTCTAGGTCTTACCTCAGGAATGGGGAACGATGGCCCTTTTATGACTGCTGGACTTCAACTCCCAGAATTCCTGCGTCAGCCATGATGGCTCAGGAATTCTGGGAGTTGAAGTCCAGAAGTTATAAAAGGCCCATCTGTCCCCACCTCTGGTCCAACCTCTCACATTTGGGTTAAGTTGACAGTACAGGTAGCTAAATGTCTATGGCAGAGGTCTTCAAACTTGGCAACTTTAAGACTTGTGTACTTCAATTCCCAATTCCCAGCAAAGCTGGCTGAGGAATTGTGGGAGTTGAAGTCCACAAGTCTTAAAGTTGCCAAGTTTGGGGACCTGTAGTCTATGGAGATTCTCAGTCATTCAGGTCGTGGTTGTTCCAAAAGTGTTTTGTTTTTTTTTCAAGAGGCAATTGGACTTTCTGGTTTTTCTTTGAAGACTTTTCACTTCTCATCCAAGAAGCTTCTTCAGCTCCCAGCAGAAGTTTCTCGGAGGAGAAGCGAAACATCTTCAAAGAAAAACCAGAAAGTCCAAGTTGCCTATTGAAAAAAGCACTTTTGGAATGACCACTGCCTGGATGACTGAGAATCTTCATAGAATCTCAATCTAATGGACCTTATATACAACCCCCAGAAAATGGTTCTCATTTGGAAATTAAATTGCAGTGGAAATTCCAGTCATTCTGCATATTTGGCATTTGAAAGATTTTTTTTTTTTTAAAAAACCAATTAAATTCCAAGCGCCAGTGTTCTCAAACATTTAGCCTTATTTCCAAACTACAAGCCTGACATTGGCTTTTACTCATAAAAGCCAAACTGGCAGAACCACCCCCTCAGCTGTAATGTTATTTTTAATTACAGTCATGAGGTTTCACCATCCTACAAAAAAAGGACCCAATTATAATTTGAATCACAGCTTTCATATAAGCACACCATAATACTTTCTGAGCAACCCTAATACCTTCAAGTAAGTTAGCTAGAAGAGTGGAATATTAAAGGATCACCTAAAAAGAAAAGTGCTGCTGATCCAGTTCTACAGAGGAATTATTGACTCTGTCATCTGCACCTCTATAACTGTCCGGTTTGGCTCTGCAACCCAACAAGACAGACACAGACTTCAGAGAGTAATTAGGACTGCAGAAAAAACAATTACTACCAACCTACCTTCCACTGAGGACCTGTATACTGCAAGAGTCAAAAAGAGGGCTATGAAAATATTTACAGGCCCCTCACATCCTGTACATAAACTGTTTCAACTCCTTCCCTCAAAACGATGCTATAGAGCACTGCACAACAGAACAACTAGACACAAGGAGTTTTTTCCCAAATGCCATCACTCTGCTAAACAAATAATTCCCTCAACACTGTCTAACTATTTACTAAGTCTCCATTACTATTACTATTAATCCTCCCATCCTTCCTTTCACCCATCTCCTCCCACTTATGACTGTATGACTGTGACTTTGTTGCTTGTAACCTTATGATTTATATTGACTGTTTCCTAGTATGATTTGATTGCTTATTGTACCCTATGACTATCATTAAGTGTCGTACCTTATGATTCTTGTCTCTTGACGAATGTATCTTTTCTTTTATGACGAATGTCTCTTTTCTTTTATGTACACTGGGAGCATTTGCACCAAGACAAATTCCTTGTGTATCCAATCACACAGAAAAGAAAGGTGGGTGCTTATCTCAAGGGACTGTTTGAGATTAATTCCGGCTGGGAATGAAAACAATTCCCAGCATGGCAATAAAATAAGTCTTGTTTGTAAAATAAGTGTGTACATCGTTATGGTCTAGGAAGCCTTAGTCAGAACATGACCTTTTTTGCCACTGTTGTTAAACAAATCACTGCAATTGTTAAGTGAATCACACATCTGTTAAATGAATCCAGATTCCCCCACTGATTTTGCTTATCGGAAGCTGGCTGGAAAGGTGACAAATGGTGATCACATGACTGTGGGACACTGCAACTGCGGCCAAGTGCCCAAATTTTGATCATGTGACTGTAGAGATCCTACGACGGTTGTAAGTGCAAGGCTGGTCATAATTCACTTTCTTCAGCACTTTTGTTACCTCGAGTAGCCAATAAATGAATGGTTATAAGGCAAGGACTGTCTGTATATGGTCAGGAGGGCTTTTTAACCTGTTTGAGCTTGACTTCTAGGTCAGCAATGGTGACACTTTTTGTTGTGGTGTGCCAAAAGCATGCACATGCCAGCACCCACAATGCAATGCACCCCGCCCCTTGCGTATGCATGCGCAACCCCCTGCCTCTTTACCTGCACTGCGCATGTGCGTGCCTCGCAGCTGATTTTTGGCCCGTTTGAGGCCTTTTCCACCCTCCTGGAGGCTCAAGGGAAGCCTCTGCAGCCTCGGGAGGCCAAAAAACGGGTCTTCCGGAAAGTCTGGAAGTGCCCATTTTCAGCCTCCGGAGGGCCTCTGGAGCCCAGGGGAGGCTGTTTTCGCCCTACCGGAGGCTTGAGGGAAGTATCTGCAGCTTTTGGAGGCCGAAAAACGGGCCTGTTTCAACAGTTCCGGTATTTCCGGAAGGCCCGTTTTTCGGCCTCCCAAGGCTGCAGAGGTTTTCCTCAAGCCTCCGGGAGGGCGAAAATGGCCACAAACAGGACGAAAATCAGCTGTGAGGCGTGTGCATGCGCAGTGAGGTAAGTTTGCCTGCGGCTCGTGTGCCAGCATAAATGGCTCTGCGTGCCACCTGTGGCATGCGTGCCATAGGTTCGCCATCACGGTTCAAGGTGGTCATGTGAATAATAGAGCTATGTGGGACTCAGAATGAGACAATCTGATGCGGCCATCTCACTGCTGCCAGCTTGCCATTGCCAACTCACTACCACCACAGCCACACAACCAACTCAATGCAGGCAGCTGGAGGAAAAGCTGGGTGGGCAGGGAGGTGGGCAGGTGAGCAGTAGCTAAGGCCAGGGGCTTCCCATTGTCGAAATTTAATATTTTTTTATTGTATAAAATACAAAAAAGAAAACAAAATAGGAAATCGAGGGAAGGAAAGGGAACGAGAAAAAGGGATGTGAAATACAAGGGGGAAGTAAAGGAAGAAAGAAAAGGGGAGCATTGACTTCCAACTCTTCCTACCGCAGTACAAGATAAACACACTCCAACCTCCACTTGTTGCTTTTACATATTAATATATAATTAGCCGTTTCTATAACACCAAGGGGACGCAGTGGTTTCATGGCTAAGATGCTGAGCTTGTCAATCAGAAATGTCATCAGTTTGGCAGTTTGAATCCCTAGCGTCGCGTAACGGAGTGAGCTCCCGTTACTTGTCCCAGCTTCTGCCAACCTAGCAGGTCGAAAGCACGTAAAAAATGCAAGTAGAAAAATAGGGACCATTTTGGTGGGAAGGTAACAGTGTTCCATGCGCCTTCGGCATTTAGTCATGCCGGTCACATGACCACGGAGACGTCTTCGGACAGCACTGGCTTTGTAACAGAGATGAGCACCGCCCCCTAGAGCTGGAAACGACTAGCACATGTGTGTGAGGGGAACCCTTACCTTTACCTTTATCACACCAAATCTTTCTAATCAACAAAGCCAAGATTGAAATTTCATTTTTCCTCCTTCACAAGCACAAATTCCAGAAGTGATATCCAAAGAAGAACATTTTCACGCACCAAACTCAGGGGCTTCCCATTTTCATACCTCCCCTGCCGCCACCGCCTTCAGCGTCTTTAGCCCAGAGCTTGGCGGCGGTAGTGGCAGCAGCGCGGTATGTGAAAAGGGGAAGCCCCTGGTCACCGCGGCTGCTCTGTGCTCTGCCCACCTGCTCACTTGCCCACCCAGCTCTCTGTCCCCGAGTTGTCACCGCAGCAAGTTGGCCATGTGAAGCTGTGATGCGGCGACCTGGCTTCGACGAGTTGGAAGAGGCAACTTGGCAGTAGTGAGATGGCTGCACTGGCCACACTGAGTTGTCCAAGACTCTGTGGGACTATAGGATGCAGAAGACAATGTATTTCTGTACTTTGAAATCAGTTGCATACTTCGGAAGTCAGATCATAAGCTTTGGCTCCAATGACTAGCAGTGGGGCCAGCTCTCCTCACATGTCCTTGCTGTAAGAAGAACATTTTGTGTGCTGTTTTCTGTTTTCCTTCATTTATGCTTGTAAAAGCAAGACACTGGTGCTATGAGTGTGCAGCTGAATCTCCAAGGATCTTCTAAAGGCATTCCAGCTGGCAGTGGTCTTTGGGAATTGTTTGCCAGCTCAACTATTCACTCACTGTTTAGATCATGTCCTAAAATGCCCTCTTCTATCCCAGTACAACCACAGCAACATTTTAAGGCATGAAATCTTTTTCTTCTGGCTGCACAGAAGATTCTAAACATTTGCCCTCTGCTCTAATCATACATCGTGTAGAACTACATCGAAGCTATCAGTAATTCTTACCTGATAATTTAACTTTACTGTCATTGCTATTACATAAATGGGTATAATTTACCTCTTGCGGATCCTGTAAACCTACTCAGAATAGCAAAAACATTCCTTGGCTTAACAGTTGGTGAGCACCAGTTTTAACCTGGAAGCGCTATTGACTACCATACTGAGAGTTGACTCTTTTAGCTCACCTTAAAATGGTTGCAGAGAAATTCTAATTTTGAACTGTTGAAATGTTTAAATGATTTAACTGTTTAAATATGAAATCAATTATTATGCTACTAAAGTTATTCATATGCCTTTGGGTATAAAAAAATAGGGGTTTATTTTTGGAAAGACGAAAAAAAATCTTAAAATTTAAAAGGATTTTAAACTTTAACAGCTGGCTCTGTTGAATGTTTACATAAAATTAACATCAACATAAAGATCCAATCTAATAGATGTTGTCCATTTTGCACTATTTAGCATTATTAGCGTAATGAATTAATTATAATTATCGCTGAAACATTATTTCTGAGTGATACAGCAGAGAAGTATTAGCAACTTCATTATTTGACATTCTATAAAACTGTTCCCTCAATACTGTTCAACTACTACGAAGTCTGTAGTACTATTACTGTTAATCTTCTCATCACTCCTTATCACCATCCCCTCCCACTTGTGACTGTATGACTGTAACTTTGTCGCTTGTATCCTTACGATTTATACTGACTGTTTCCTAGTAAGATTTGATTGCTTACTGTCCCTATGACTATCATTAAGTGTCGTACCTTATGATTCTTGATTCTTGACGAATGTATCTTTTCTTTTATGCACACTGAGAGCATTTTCACCAAGATAAATTCCTTGTGTATCCAATCACACTTGGCTAATAAAGTATTCTATTCTATTCTATTCTATTCTATTCTATTCTATTCTATTCTACTCTATTAAATTCTCTCTCTCTCTCTCTCTCTCTCTCTCTCTCTCTCTATCCAGCTATCTATTTACCTATCTACCTATCCAGCTATCTTCTAATTCCCTCCTAAGAATAAGATTTGAATAAGGAACAGAGAAATGAAGTAACAGGATCACATAACAGCATAGATTCTAGCTTGCTAGATGGTTAACAATTGGAGCTTTTTGTAATGCACATGCAATGCACAGTATTTCTATCCCAAATGATATTTTACATCAGAATTAGAATTCTTTATTGGCCAAGTGATGATTAGGGTAATACAACAATAGTGATAGATCATTATCATAGTAATACATAGAAAGGATTTGAGCATCTTCAATTTATGGAGTGACCAAACAGTGGGCAGGAACAGAGAATTGAAGAGTGAGCCCAAAGCTGAACACCAGAACTTGAGAGTCTCTAAAGCAAATATATCACCAAAGTATATCATTGTCTAAAGTATGAAGGTGCGTGAGAGAAAGAGCATATGATATCCTGAAGCCAAACAGACCGATGGCGCCATCTCTCACACAAATATTTGCTTTTGTAGAATAATTCAGAAGTAGGGGCAGCATTTGTGCTCCCTCACCTCTGGCTGTAGTCTAGACCAAAACAAGACCTGTTTACATATGTATGAATTTTAGTAAGGTGATGGGTTTCCTTTCAAATTAGCACTGAAAGATCAGGTTGGAGTGAATTCATGATAGAATAAATTTTAACAGGCCGCAATCTTGTTGGACATATGACATTCTTTCTTAAACTTGCAGTTAATACATGCAGACTGAAGATAAAATGATATTTGGAAGTGGGCCTATAAAGCACTGAAAATTTGACTTAATAGAAACTTCTAATTTGTCTACTGTTCTTTATAAGCCTTTTTTATATTTATGTACGCATATCACCTATATACACTATATTTCTTTTAAGCTTAGGACACTGTGTTATTGTATTGCTACTAACGACTATATTGCAATCACTATTTTCCCAACTATATATTCTCTTGATGTCTTGAATTGTAAGCCCCTTTTTTGCCCATTCCCCATAGCCAAATGCCACACTGGCTGAAAAACTGTAGGAATTGGAATCAAGCTTGTGGACACCTAGATGGCAACAGGATGGGAAAGTCATAGAACCCTTTTACAATCCACCCTAATATATGATAAAGTTAATGCAGTTACAGCAAAGGATTTTTAGCTAAGCCCAATTACATATGTCTTAGGACATCAAACACAATTCTAAACACTAGAAGAAGCCTGCAATTATGTAAGGCAAGATAATCTTGTTTTGTGCATCACAATTGCCTATTTTGTGTCCAGATTAAAGTCTATTGTCTACATGTTTAGCGATGGACGCATATTGGACGGCGTATTTCATAACACAGAGTTTCTTGCCAATTTCCCCCTCTTCCATATATCTAATTGTCTCTCTGACCTAGCCTTCAATTTCTTTCAGCTTCAGGCCAAAGAAAGATTGCTTGCTCACACCCTGAGTGCCATCTACAGGACACACATTATGAATACTTAACATTGGACTATGACATCTGACATCTCCTTTCTTCCAGCGCTTTTCCAGTATTCTTATCAGGTTCTTAATTGGTTTCCAAAATAGCACATTCCACTTTTGATGAGGGGAAAAAAACCCCTTTCTATCATCAAATGATCCCACAATTATGCCTCTTCAAAGTATGCCTTGAGGTTGTTTTTTTTAAATTTCCAGTCCAGGGCCATGGAGTTACTTATAATACTATCATATGTATATACTTACTTAAATACTTACAATTCAATACTGTATTATCAAATTGGTTTTTCCTTATCTTTCATGGCCTGGACCGGAAATAAAAACAGTTCAGTTGCCTTTTGAAAAAGCACTTTTGGGACAACTATGATCTGGATCACGGGTCTCCAAACTTGGCCGCTTTAAGCCTGGTGGACTTCAACTCCCAGAATTCCCCAGCCAGCTGGCTGAGGAATTCTGGGAATTGAAGTCTTCCAGGCTTAAACCGGCCAAGGTTGGAGACCCCCTGATCTGGATGACTGAGAATCCCCACAGGCATTATCTTTCTTTTCTTTTTTTTCTTAAAAAAATTATATTATCTAAAAATCACCCTAAAAACGCAGCAAGATCTTCCAAGCTTTTTACCAGCTAGAAAGCGATCCTCCCCATTCCTAAAAAAACAACAAAAAACCCTCTTAATTCCATCAATGGTCCGCGCGGTCCCCTTTTTTTTTTCTTTTCGCCCACCAATCCGCGGGTGGGGCGTGGCCTCCATTCCCCTCCCCTGCCCAATCAAAGCCGACCCTCCCTTCTTCTCCGCGCTTACGGCTCTCCTTTTTCTCACACGCGCTTGCTCCGCTGATTGGCGGAGGCGGTCCTCCTCCCCGTCCCCTCGACAGGGGGAGGGGAGGGAAGGAGGCGGGACCCGAGAGAGAGAGAGAGAGAAAGAGAGAGAGACTCAAAGGCACGCGCGCGGCTGGCTCCGTTCGGCCAATCGGGAGGCGCGAGATCCCGCGGGGGGGTGGGCGTGGGAGGGGCCGAGCCCGGCGAAGCGAGAGGAGTGGCAGTCGAGAGAATCCCGTCGGGGACGGCCCTGGGGGAGAGAGGCGGGGCGAAGAAGGAGCGGCGTCCAATGGCAGCTGGCGGGGGGCGGGGCGGACGGGGCTGGCCTCCTGCTTGAGGGGGGGGCAGACGGGAGGATTGTGGGGTGGGGGGGAGAGCCGTGCTGAGGCGAGAGAGAGAGAGAGAGGGAGGCGGTTGGAGCGCACACGCGCTACGGCCGCTGCCCCCAAAATGCACTCGGATGCCGCGGTTGTCAGTAAGTGAGTCGCCGGGCGAGGGAGGCCTGGCAAGCGGCGGGACGAGAACGGCGGCGAAGGGGAGAAAGGGGCGGCCGGTGCCGGCGGGGTTGTTCGGAGGGGATGCATTGAGCGGGGGGGGGGGGGGGGGGGGGGGGGGGGGAGAAAGAAAGGCTCCCTTGTGACGCAGTTCGACCGAGGAGGCTTCCGGCAGCGGCGGCCCCTTTAGCGCTGCCTTGCCCCTCTCAACGCCGGCCCGGTTGAGTCGCCCCGGGGAAAGGGGCGGGAGGGCGGAGGGGGTAGGAATCCAAGGGCCGCCGGTGACGGGGGTGGGGGGGAGAAGAAAGGAGCACCCCCCCCTCCGCTCGCCCTTCTCTGCCTCGTTGCATGGTGGGAGTTGGAGTTCTTGCCCGCCGGGGCTGCGCAGCCCAGCCTGGCCCCGCGGACTACAATTCCCAGAATGCATCCCGCAGACAGCTGTCTGCCTTTCTCCCTTTCCCTCCCACCCCCCCCACAACCCCCTTCCCCTCCTTTCTCCACCGTTCGCCCCTCTTTGGGCCAGGGGGTGCAACCCGAGCAGGAACCCGGGCACGCCCTGCCCCTCTGCAGGTAGGAGAGAGTGAGGAGGGGGTGGACATCTCTCATTGACTCCCCTTGAAGGCCTATGGGGCAGTTGCATGGGTTTGGGGGAGGGGAGCCCCCCCTTTTCCCCTTTCTTGAGAGGGAGGAGATCCCTTAAATGTGTTTTTCCTCTGTTCCTTTAGCTCTTCCTCTCCTTTAAGCTTTCTAGGGGTTGGTTTGCCCTGAAGAAAAACTTCCCCATGGTTTTTATTTAACATTTTTTTAAAAATCGAGTGATTATCATATAAGATACAAAATATGAAAATAAATAGGAAGGCAGTGGGGGGCGGTGTGGAGAAGAGAAGGGAGGAAGGGTTAGGAAAAAAAAAAAGCAGGGTTGACTTTCCAGCCTTTCCAGCCCACAACTTTCTCCCCCCCCCCCCCCCCCCCCATAATAATATAAATGAGCCTTTTTTATTAGGATCTATCAGTCTAATCAGGGTAAAACCCAAAGTCAAATTTTCATTCTTTTCCACTTCAAGCCCGGAGCTCAGAAGCCGTCTCCATGTGGAAAGAAAAGTACTTATATTCTTTTTTTAAATCAAAATAGTCAATGTTGCCATTTCAGCCAACTCCCATCAGCTTCTGCAGGCCGTTTATCCACGGTAGGAATCGAAATGTCCTTCCATTTTGGGCGGCATATAATAATCTTGCTGCTTGTCAACATATATAGTGTCCAAACTTCCTCATGGTTTGATTGACATTGATTAAAGAAAAAAAAAAATAGGGGCAGGGAAACTGCAGGACGCATTCTTTCCCCTGTTTCTTAATACTTTTCTTTGAGGTTTAACAGAAGCCAGTGATTTATTTCAGGGTAAAATTTATTTGAAAGTTGCTGTTGCAATTTTAACTGGTTGCTGGACAGCCTTTCCAAAAGAGAAATCCTGTTGGATTGTTCATTGATCTAATAGTTGATCTAATAGTCTAATAATCATTCTAATAGTTGGATAGAATTTTCTAGGTCTTTGTTTTGTTTTAATCTTCCTGGTTTTGCTAGGCTTTGTAAATGGAGATCTTCCATTCTTGATTTTATAAAGAGGCTTTCCTGAATATGCATGGTAGCCATAGAGGAAGAGGTTTGTAGCTGGAACAGAATAATAAGCTAGTCATTAAAGGTTAGTAAAAAGAAGAGCCTTCCATTTAACAGTGATGGAGAAGAGGCTAGAATGGCAGAGAAGAGCCAAACCACTCTATTCCTCTTGTCACCTGCATATATTTCTTGTCTATGGTGACCAGTGACTTTTTAAACAAAAACTACTACTTGCATCAAGCTTGTCCATGCAGAATATAGGACATAAATATTCTTCTGCATTACAGCAAATAATGGATAGTCCACGTTGTAGTAATGTGTTTTTCATTGTAGGCGAAATTAGCAATTCTTTCTTTTGTTGTGGACTGAAAACTCTGTATTTATCTTACTTTAAAAGTAAGAATGTAATTGAGCTAGTCAACTTAGTGGCTCCCATAGATAAATGTTAACCTCTGCAAAATCTCCCTAATCCTTGTTTGGAAATAATATTATTTTTCCTTGATATTGGTCAGTTTATTTTTATGAATATTCTATATTCATTAAAAAAACTATGGAGTGACCAAAAAAAAAAACCAATGGAAGATTGTCCTGTAAGAATTAGCCGCTTCTGAAATATGTGCAATTTAGTTACACTTTAGTAAATAGAGAACTTTGACCTACTCAAAGAAGTAACTTCTTGAATTTTGTCTGTGTATTTAATGCAGTTATGTACTATTTATATCAAGTTTCTTCAGTTTTTTAAACTAGGCCCAATACTTTCAACAATAAGTAGTAGTAACCTAATTTAGCTGGCATCTATCGAAGTTGAAGAATAAACATTAAGTGCAGAATGGACATCTGAGGTGCTACTGATCTGGTCTCTTGAGCAGATTACTGCTGAATGCCTTGAATGCTTGGAAATTGAGAGGAAAGTGGCTATGTTGTAAGATCAGAATGCAGAATGCTTATTTGGAATTAAGGCTCACTAAAAAAACCAGATTACTTCCAAATAAATTCTCTTTAAGAATTCAAGCAGCAGTATTACAGTTTTTATGAAGGGATAACCCCCTACTGAACTTCAAGGACAGACTGGAAATAATTCTGTTGCTTGATGGTATTTTTTTTTCTGTGTGGACATGTACTGTATAGAAATGCATCCTTGTAGTAACATGTAAAATCACACTTCAGTGTGCTTATTAAGAAATACTGAAATTAAATATGACTAGAAGTAAAGTACTCCATTTATAGTCTTGCTGGTCTTTAATTTGAGATGCCATTTTAACACATCACATTTAAACATTTTAAGCTAATTTTTTTTTTTCATTTTGTCTTCTGTTAAAAAAAGAAATGGGTTTAAAACCACTTCTGCCAAAGATTTCAAGGGGAAATTTGTTTCAGAGGACAGGCACTGCTCTAGAGAAGGTTCACTTCCAGGGTCCCAACTGTTGTTATTGCTTAATGAAAGAAAAAAAAATGGTGGTTTAAATTTATTGTAGGCCTATGTATGTAAGTGTGAAAATGTCCTGCAAAGAACCAATCCCCACTGCCACCACCACCAAAATTCCCTGGTTATCTTAGCATATATAGTACTTGAATAGTTCAGTTGCTATAACAAACTTCATCTAAAATAACACACACTTGTGCATGTATGTGTGTATATACATAACATACATACATATATACATATACACACACTTTTGAGAGTGGGCATCAGAATTTCATTTTCTAATTGTGCCAGTATATTCACAGTAAAAAATTGATAGTAAAGGTTATCTTATATGTGACCTATAAAAGTTGGAAACTGTTTATTTTAAAGTCCACCTCTCGAAGTCTCAGTTTCAAGAATTTTCAGAAGCTGCATTTCTTAAACACCATATAAGTTAAGTTTGGAGTTTGTGAGAGGCTTTGGTGGTTACTCCTAGGTTCTCAAATTGCTTGGGATAGGATGCCAGATTATCTCCTCATTTGGCATCTTTTAGCTTTTAGCTCTTCAATTTTGCTGCAAATGGGTTTGAAATGAATACTTTTTAACATTGTCTTACTGGTACTTTTTGAGCCTATTTGCTATTTAATCATGTTCTTGTATTTTAATGTTATTTTACTGTAATGCAGTGTTTTAATGGTAACGCCTTGAGCACTGCTTGTACAGGAGCACCAAGCCATAAATATATTAAAAGTAAAATAAGTGGAGATAAAGCTTTTTGAGCAGATAGCAGGATTTGGTTGATCTGGTTGGAAACTAATTATGGTTTAACCTTGTTAGTGTTTGGATAGACCAGGGTATTCTCCAGACCAGGGGTCACCAACATTTCGGACCTCAAGGACCACTAAATTCATAATTTTGAATCCCGCGGACTACTAATATGATCTGTCTAGTGACCGGCTGGGTGGGCATGGCTAGGTGGTCATGTGACTGGCTGGGTGTGGACAACTCAGTGTCACTCACGTCGAGGGGTACCTCGCCGGCCTCTACTCACCCCTCCCTTCCCAGCCACTCCTTGCCTGCCCGCCCGGGCTACTTAGGGCTCCAACAGGAAGCAGTTGTTGGAGCTAAGCCGTCACCACAAGAAAAGAGTTGGCAAAATAGCTGGCTCAGTTCAAATTGGATCTGACCGAGAAGGAGGCTCAGCAGAAGCACCTCACTGAGGACTACGAGCATAGGCTTTCCAAGCAGAGGGAAGACCTGCAGGAGTGCAAGGCCAGGCACTGGCACCCGGAGGCTCAGCGGGATGAGATGGTCAGCCAGTTCCAGGCCATGATGCAGTCCCACTGGAGCGAGGCCCTCCGGCTCTTCTCCACCAGCGGCCCTTCCCTCCAGCCTTTGCCCAAAGCCCCCCACCAGGAGGCTGAAGCAGACCCCAAGTTGGAATTTCTGCTCCCCTCCTACCTACACAAAAAGACCCCGAAGGGGGAGACTCTCTGCAGCAACACAAATGTTCATTGCATGTATCCGGCCCAGGGCCCATAGTTTGAGGACCCTTAATTTAGTGCAATATAAACAAATGCAAATAGTTTTTCTGCGGACCAACAAAATTTTCTCGTGGATCACCAGTGGATGACAGCTGCTCCAGACAATACCAATGCTGAAGTTCAAAGCTGAGAAAAAACATCCTAGAAGAAGGCAGTGGAACACCACTTTCCTAATATCAGGGAATTTACACAGATATATCCAGATAGCCACCAGGTCAACTGAAAGTTTATTTTTGTGTCTTTCTGATGCACAGGCTTGACTTTGAGGTTGGAAGTCAAGCAGCACCTTTTCTGATTCATATTTAGATTTCAGGGCTGTGAGGTGGAGAAATGCCAATCGCAAGCCAATTTTTTTTAACGGCTGACACAAAAATATCATGAACCGATCCATGAATCATCAGGGCAAAGCTCAGTTTGAAGGAGATATGTTGAAGGCTGATTGAAATAACAAAAAAAATATCGCAAGCAGACATGGTCAGGCAAGTAAAGATGGATATAGACAGCATTTCGGAGCATGTTTCAGAACTTCGATGCAATGTAAATAATTTTTTTTTTTTCATGAGCCTTTGTTGCATGTCAGTGAGTGAAAGTAGCTCAATGTAAGAAAGCACCCTTAAGCGTAACCTAAGTGGGCTTGAACCAGATGGTTATTTCAAGCAATGGCCTTTGCAGAAGTATTACCCACACACCCCAAATAGGAAATATCAGCTATCTTTTGGCTTCTTTAGGGAATTCCTGAGTCACAAGTGGGGTGCTGGGAGACCATATATTTCCTTGAACTGTATAATGCAACTGTTGCCTAAGGAAAACTAGGAAAATTATAATTTTAGGATGCAACCCTCTGACCACAGAATGAGAGCAGAGAAAATGGCCCAGTTTTGGTGGGGCTAATGTAACCTTGAATTATTTTTCTTATGCTCCTTGGAAATAACTGCAACTCCTCCCTCATTGTAAAGCCCTGGTTTTAGGAAAGAGAAGAAAGGAAGGAGAAAGGGAAGTCGAATTTTGAATGTGAAGTATTCAAAAGGCTTCTCTCATGTGAGCCCATCCTTCGACAAAATGTGAATCGGTTTTTGAGGTGCTGAAGTATTTCTCTCCCATTGCTTGCAGTTGTCTTTCCACCCTCATTTCTGCCAAGGTGGCCTGTTGCTGATGAAGCCTTTAAAAGCACTTCGATGGGATAGAATATAGAATATTCTTTATTGGCCTAGTGTGATTGGACCCACAAGGAATTTGTCTCTGGTGCATAAGTGCTCGGTATACATACAAGCAACAGAGTGACAAATCATCAATCATAAGATTCAATCACAAATCATAAGGTACAACCAACAAAGATCACCAAAGATCATTTTATGATTGGTATCATAAAATACCAATAGGAGTAGGTAATAGGAAAGATAGAAAAAGATAATAGTAATGCAGTCCTACTACATGATTAGATATCCTTTGGCGTAAGGCAGTGCTGTGGGAATTATGTGTTTAGCAGAGTGATGACATAGGGGAAAAATTTGTCTCTAGTCTTTTTTGTCATGCAATGCTCTGTAGGGGCGTCCTGAGGGGAGAAGTTGAAATAGATTATATCCAGGATGTGAGGGGGTCTGAAGATATTTCCTGAGCCTCTTTTCTAGCTCATGCAGCATACAGATCCTCAACGGAAGTCAGGTTGGTTGCAGTTGCTTTTTCTGCAATCCTATCCGTTGAAGTCTGTACCTGCCCTGTTTAGTGGCTTTACCAAAGGCAGTTTGAGTTGCCCAATTCTAATTCCTGTTATACTTGACTATTTAACCACACAAGGAATCCTGTGCATAAACATTGACATCTCCTGCTCCTGTTTTGTGAACGTGTTTATTTTCAGATGCCCACAGAAACCATTTTAAAAAATACAGCACATTCAGGATACTTGCGGTACCTAGAACAGTGATGGGGAAAAATGTCCTTGGCTTTGGCACTACCTGCCTTTAAAATGGAGCCAGGTGTTTATCTAATTGAAATAGATTGTGCTAAGCCAGCATTTTGTTTGTTTGATTCACACATCTTGCTAATCAAAACAGTCTGTTTCAAATTAGAATTACAATGAACTAGGACATTTTGCTTTTTTTCAGGAAATCGTAGTAAAAAAAACCTGAATTAATCTGTATGGACATAGACGTAGTAAAGAAATGTTTAGCTGTGGCATCAAATCTGTTGTCTCTGTAGTATCCTTATAGTGTAATCTGTTTTGTCATGATCAAAATGTCCTTACGGGCAGAATAAATTAACCCAAGTGTTGTTTTGATTTAGTCTTCCATTATTGCATTGAACTTGATGAAAAGATCTGAAGTGTGAAGTCCTTGATGTACATGTATATACAGGTAGTCCTCGAGTTATGACCACAATATAGCCCAACACCTATGTTGCTAAGTGAAACATTTGTGAAGTGAGTTTGTCCCATTTCAAGATTTTTCTTGCCTCATTTGTTAAGCAAATCACTGCAGTAGTTAAATTAGTAACACTGTTGTTAAGTGAAACTGGTTTCCCCATTGACTTTGCTTTGATTCCAGGACACTGCAACTGTCGTAAATGGGAGTCAGTTGTCAAGCATCTGAATGTAAATCACTTGACCGTGGGGATACTACAATAGTCATAAGTGTGCAAAAATGGTCATAAGTCTCTTTTTCTCAGTGCCGCTGTAACTTTGAATGGTGACTAAGTGAATTCTTGTAAGTCGAGGACTCCCTGTATAGCTTAGGTTGAATTGTGAGCCCTTGGTGGCCTCTTAACGTGATTATTTGCTTGCAGACATTTTATTACTCAAATAGATACCAGTAACAACATCAATGCTAGTGAATGTAGTGAATGTTTGTTTATATACAGTGTTGTTGTAACTGTTCTTTCCTACGAGCAATCCTTTGTGTACGTGCACTTGGCACAGGCTCCTCGGGAACCTCCTCCTCGCTGCTGCCACCCCCCACAATCTCCGAAAGCAGCAGTCCACTCCCTGATGGTCCTGGCCCCTCATCTGAGTCCTCGCTCTCCTCAGCCATCCGCACCTGCTGCCGGCTAACTACAACACCCTCTGAGAATTTATGCATGGGGATATAGACCCACTTTATAACAGATCATGATAGATAGCCAACTGTAATTCATAACAATGGTTTTAATAGGTAAAGTTTCTCTGCTTCTTAGTGCCAAGGTATGTTGAGGACCCCTTTTTCTAATCTGAACTGACCCATCCAATACCTTCTTCACAGGAGATGATAGTCTTGGCGATCCCACCTTTCTAGGAGATAACAGATAGTCCTCAATTTACAACTGACTGTTCAAAGTTACAATGGCACCATCCCCATGGTCATGCGATCAAAATTCAGAAGCTTGACAACTGACTCATATTTGCAATTTTTGGAGCTATAGTGGGGGTTGGGGTTGGGTGGAGGGGGTTGACTCAGGGAATTACTCCAAATGTATTAATGGTTGCTTTTAATGTTGAGGATGTATCAACACTCCCTTTTGCTCCCAAGTTTATACTTGGCTCTAGAGCAGGGGTCTCCAACGTTGGCAACTTGAAGCCTGATGGACTTCAAAGCTTTGCTGGCGGGGGAATTCTGGGAGTTGAAGTCCACCAGGATTCAAGTTGTCAACGTTGGAGACCCCTGCTCTAGAGCTTCCTGGGTAAAGACACCACTGCTTCTGCAGGTCAAATCAGGTCAGAATCTTCTGACACTTTCTCTTTATGACATCAACAATAATTTGACCATTCTCTTCAATTCTAGCTAGCCTATACGTTTAAAAAAGTGTGCAGGAAAAAAAATCCATATATATATTTTGCAGAACTAATATAATATAAATTTTATGCCATTTTTTTTTTTCGTTCCTAGATTTTCAGCTGAACTCTCATCTATCAACACTGGCAAATATTCACAAGATTTACCATACCCTTAATAGGCTGGTAATTGCTTACATTTTTGAAAAATCATGGTTATTTAATGTTAAATAGATGTTAAAATATTCTTCCATTATTATTTTGCCATCAGCAACAAAGACCTGTGTAAATTCAGCTGTGCATACTTTCATTTGAGCTAATCCTTTATTGATCTTTAATATTCAAACTTTAGATGCACAACTGGTATGTTCATTCATTCTTCCATTAAACAAATAAATACCCCTCTGAGTCTACATACTTTTAAGATTCTTATCCTGGTATTCCTACTACCCTGCATAGTCTTGCCCACTGGTTGGGTTGTGTATTAGCATAATAAGCCTGCTGTAGGATTATCAGAAAAGAATGAAGCCAGAGCCAAAGTTTTTCTTAGTAAGTTTTAATACTTTGGGGGTCTTGGTATAATGGTAATCGTGATATTATTTAGATATATACTTGTTTATGTGTTTAATATAACTCACTGAATTTCTGACCATAAGGACTCTTAGATTATTCAGAGCTGCTTATCCCTTTCAAAATACGTATATAATGTGTCGAATATAAATAAGATATTAAAACACACATCAAGCTATTTCTTGGGCCCCCTTCTTTCTGGAAACATCAAGAAGCTTGCCTATCACAACAGTAGGTCAATTGTTGAAACATTTGCCACAGGAACTATGAATTAAGCAAAACATTGGTTTTTGTCACGGTTTCACAGATAGAGAAATGAAGCTAATTCACTAATCACTAATGAGAGAAGATGGCAAGGAAGTGAGGATCACAGGCAGAAAGCAGTGCTACTTAATTCATTCTTTGCATCTGTCTTCAAGCCAGAGGGAAAAAAATAGCACAGACTGCCAGAGACAGAACTGTAAAAGACAAACTAGGAATACAATTTAAAATAGGCAAGAAAATGGTAAGAGAATTCCTGTTGCCCTAGATGAATTCAAATCATCAGGACCAGATGGATTACATCCCAGAGATCTGAAGGTGCAGTCAGAGATGATCTTTGAACCAGTTCTTTCAATGATCCTGGAGCATTGGAGAACTACCAGAGAACTGGAAAAGAGCTGATGTGGTTCCCATCTTCAAAACAGGGGGGGGGGGGGGGAATTGATCCAGGAAATTACAGACCAATCAGCCTGAAATCAATACCTGGGAAGATCCTGGAAAAGACAATAATTAATCTGTGAACACTTAGAAGCAAGCAAAATTTGTAATCAGAAGCCAATATAGGTTTTTCAAAAACAGGTCATGCCAAGCAAACCTTATTTCGTTCTTTGACAATGTGACTAAATTGGTGGACCAGTGAAATGCTGTGGACATAGTACACTTAAATTTCATTTAGGCATTTGACAAAGTAGACCACAACCTACTTCTTAGTAAGTTAGAAAAACGGGGGATAGAAAAGCATCACCACCAGATGGATTTATAACTGGATTACAGACCTCATTCAACATGTATTCCTTAATGGAACTACATCTATATGGAAAGAAGCGGTGGGATACCCCAAGTTCTGTTTTAGGCCCAGTACTCTTCAATATCTTCATAAATGATTTAGATGAGGGAATAAAAGGGAATTCCGTGTGCTGCACCCAAAACAATTCAATGCAATCTAGGCTGCATTAACAGAGGGATAGAATCAAGATCACGTGAGCTGTTAGTATCCCTTTGCAAAATCTTAGTAAGACCATACCTGGAATATTGCATCCAGTTTTGGACTCCACAATTAAAAAAAATATAGAGATTCTAGAAAGAATGCAGAGAAGAGGAATAAAGTGATTGGGGGTGGGTGGAGAACATATAACTGTTCTTTATATGCTAAAACATAAAGAACAGTTGCAAGAATTGGCTATGTCTAGTCTAGTGAAAAGTAGGCCTATGGGTGACATGATAGCAGTGTTCCAACGTTTGAGAGGCTGCCACAAAGAAGACAGGACCAACCTATTTTCCAAAGCACCTGAAGGCAAGACAAGAAACAATGGATGGAAACTAATCAAAGAGAGAACCAACCTAGAACTAAGGAGAAATGTCCTCACAGTGAGAACAATTAACCTGTGGAACAGGTTGCCTTTAGAAGTTGTGGATGCTCCATCACTGCAGGTTTTTAAGAAAAGGTTAGGTGGCCAGAATGATATAGGGTCTCCTTGTACAGGGGCTTGTATTTGAAGACCTCCAAAGCCCTTCCTACTCTGTTATTCTGTTAAGCTTTTCTCACACCCTGCTCTTTGGCTAAACCAGTACCAGCAATCTTTTTTCCCCACATGATTCCTGCTAATGGTAATAATAACCCCCTTGGACATACTCCACCTGGCTTCCAATGGGTGAACCAAGAAGGAGATTGGTTTAAAATCATGCACACAGGTCTTTGAGGGAAGTAAAACTCCAACATTGCCTGTTTGTGTGGTGGGTCTCATATTTTACAGTCCTGAGGTTTTTATTCCATCTTTTCAAACAGTTAGTCTAAAATAGTCTTGTAGTACATGCTTGAGCTTGTTCTGGATCTTCCTTTACTTGATACAATCCAAAACATCTGGAGGGCACTTGGTTTCTTAGTATCTGCTTCAAATGTAGACCTTTTATATCCAATTCCTGTATTTTAATCCAAGGGAACATTTAATCCCACTGTTAATATCGGTTATAATCAGGCTGCATTTATCTTGCTGACTTTGGGGGGGGGGGGGGGAAATCAGGCAATGTCTTATTATTTGCTTATATGGATAAGTTGTTTGAATTTCTTAGAAGTGAGATGAAATCTGGAACTTTGTTGAACCCATGCATTTTGCAGTAATTAAAGGGAAGTAACAAAACAAGAATATTAATGACATTTTTTATGATAAAACACTTAAGAAATTTCACCCAGGATAATTTAAAGCAGAAAGTTCACGTTTTCCCTCAGATAAAAAAAGTCAGTAATAACTGTAGCCTTTGACATTTAAATCTGGTGTGGGAAAATAGTAGGCCAGAATAAGATAGCTGTCAATATTTGAACCTATAAAGCAATATCCAAACTCCTAGTTAATTTAATTTTTTTCCAGAATTTGACGGAAGATACTAGTCAAGACGATAACCAAACAGGTAATATTACAGAATTTTTAAGAATGTTGAGTAACCTTATTAAGTTTTTATTTGTTAGACAAATTTGTATCATACTTTAATTTCTATCAAAATCGAGGAGAGGTCATTCCCAGGATTTATAAAATTATGTGATAGATTGTTTTAAAGGTGTATTAATGTTATTCACTTATTTAATATCATTATATCAATTACTTTTTATATACCATAGTAAATGTTCAATTAAAACAATAGATTGCTATAGTAGGTATATTAAAAACATTTGATTAATCATGGTTTGTTTAATTATCTTCAGTTAATAAATCAGAGTGGTTGAGTTCACACAACGTGTAAATCATAACCACTAGTACAGAACTGTTGTGACCGAGTTCGCAAAACATGCTAAGAAAAAACCCAAACAATTCCTATTATAGATACTAATATATTATACATTTGTTAGGCCTTTAGGAGCATTTGCACCTCTGAATTTTCTCTGCTGATGTTTCAGTGGAGTTTAAAAGATCTGTGTTTGATTGATAAGCTGCCTCAAAGTTCTGCGACAAAGTAGAACTTAATGAAATAAGATTTTTAAATAACATCTACCTATTTCATGTTTGTCTCTTTTTCCTACATTCTTTTACAGGAAACCTGAGATCTTGCAGTTCATCAGACAGCTTTAGCAAAGTGATGCCTCCAAGAAAAAAAAGGCGACCTACAACAGGAGATGATCTGACAGCTAAAAAAAGTAGACATGATGGGTAAGTAACCTTTCTTATTCGGACACTTTTCAATTAAGAAACATGACATTTGGAAGGGCAGCAATCCAGGAGAAGATGGTTCAACTTTCAACTCTCATCAGTAGCTCATTTAAATGAGATTTCTAGGCTTTCTTATGCTCTGCAGGCCTAGCACAATTATTTCATAGCTCATTATTTTAAGAGTTATCGTCAATGCTACCTATTCTTCTGTAAGAAATTATTTAAGAGGGCAGATTTCTCCACAGATTTTATAATTTGACCTATGTATTCTACACACTTTGATTGTGGCTGAGTGGCAAAATGATAAAAGAACCTTATAAAGCAGAAATCTCGCAATGGTGAGCCTTAATTTGCAGTAAGTAAAGCGAATTAAGATTTGGTAAGGATGATTTGTTTCCTGCTTCTGGGTTGTACATGAAAATACTTGGGAAGAAATGTTTTGGATTGCAATTTAGCATATAAATTCTATTCATTAGAGCAGCCTAATTTTTTTTTCTTGGTGTCAGTACAAATCAGAAAAAAATACCCTCGTGCTGTAAGAGTTGCAGCTGATTTCATAAAGCAGCCACTTCTTTTTTCAGGATCATGCCATCCGTGCATCTGTTTAAGGCCTGTCTTGAAAGTGCTTTAAATTCCAGTGCAGAATTTGGAAGTTCATGCAAATAATCTGATAAAATTATTTGAAGTGTCAGAATTTGCAAGTGAGTGGGTTGACTAGGGACAAGAAGTTACTTCGAAGGTTTGCAATCTATCGGCATTGACATGTCATTTTATAGAACTGTGAAACATCATGTTCTTAAGCTTTTTCTCTTTTTTTCAGCGTATACAGAAAATACGATTCTACCAGAATAAGGTCAGAAGATGATATGTTTTCAAGTAAAAGGTGTTTAGAGTGGTTCTATGAATATGCAGGCAAGTGTTCACATCTGCACATTTCTTAAATATTACTAAGCAAGAATTTGAAAGGAAAAACCAATTCCTGTTTGAAGTATTAAAATATCAACTTTTAAAATTAAATAAAGATGACTTCAAATAATTTTACTTTACTCCAAAAGTGCAACTTAACTTTTGACTTGAAATTATAGTCAGTTTTGCAGATACTTAATAGATCCATTTTTGAAGATTCACGGGTGGTTTTAAGGTGCTGTATTGTAAGCATTTGAAGAGTATCTCTTTTTGGTTAATTGGAGCAGTGGATATGAATCTGCAATAAAGTAAATAATAACATTTGATTCTGTTTTGAGGAACCTTTGGGCTCTTTGAATATTTGCATGTTGTGACAGCTGTATCTTGTGGGATTGAGATAGAGAAAGGAGTTTTTGATCTTTGGACCTGCACTTCCTCCTGTGTGCCTAAGCAGTGTTCAAGAAATCACATCCTTGTAAGAGCTGCTCTTTTTGTATAGTCCAGTCATTTGGACTTTAATAATCAAGTGATTGTAACGTTTGAGTAGAAAATAATCTTTGTTGTTTACTTATAGGAAAAGATGATGTTGTGGGTCCTGAAGGAATGGAGAAGTTCTGTGAGGACATAGGGGTTGAGCCAGAAAACGTACGTTCAAGTTCATATATCGGTAGCAGAGAACCAGTTTGTGCTTCTCCCATTTCCATTAAAAAAAAAAAGATTGTGAACCTGATGAGGAATTTAACACATTGATAGTGCTGGCACAGTGTGCTTCTCCATGTTGTAGTTAAATGGCAAATATGGTTACCACACATGGGCAGCTCAGGCACACAACTTCCATTTGTGATTAGATAATTGTAGCAAATGGTTTCATATGTCCATGCATGCAGGATGTATGTTATAGTCCATGCATGTATACTTTCCAGTTTGTTTAGGAATACATACATCCAGAAACAATGTTGACTTGCATTTGGATGGCATACTTAAAAATTTGCTCTGGTAACAAGCTATCACAAGAAAACCACTTTTTCACCTACCAATGAGATGGATCATTGGGCATATGTGGGGCAGAAATTATATACTTTATCATTTGACTGTTTTATACTAACCATGATATGAAAGTGGCCCATTGAAATGATTTGATATTTCATGTTTTTGCTGAATAGAAGTAATAAATTTCCGGCAGTCATCTTTCCTTTTTATGGTTCAGATATCTTTGTCTTTCCACTTACTCCCTGAATGCCAACAGTGGAAATGTCCCCTGCACATTTTCAAGTCTAAATACTTGAAAAAAAATGGAGCTGTGTATCACTTCTGCCCTATCCCTGGTTGCCAATACAAATCTTTGAAAACCAGATGCATTAAGAAAAGCATTGAATAAGTAAAAATTCTTATGTAAACTTTGGGATCTTTTTTTATTTTTTATTTATTTTTATTATGCTTTTTCAATTTACACACATGTTTAACATTTTTGACAGCAGTGTGGCATATAAGCATATATAAGCATCTACACATACGTTAATCCTTATTTCTACTTTTTAGCCAATTGTACCATTTGTTCTTGTCTTTTAATTCTAACGTGAGCTTGTCCATCTCAGCACATTCCAACACTTTCTGTATTACTAATTCCTCAGACTGTATGCTATCCCGTTTCCAACACTGTGCAAAAGCAATCCTGGCTGCTGTTGCTATGTGTAATATGATATGTAATATGATAATATGGTATTTAGTCTTTTTGCTAAACTCCTCTTTGATTATTCCTAACAGAAACAGTTCAGGTTTCAGTTCAGTCAATTTGGTGTTTCATTATTTCTTGTAGCCAATTTCTTATTTTTACCCAATATCTTCTCGTTTCGGGACATAACCACCACATATGAAAAAAGTGCCATATTTATGTTTACGTTTCCAGCATTCTGGGCTCATATTAGGATACATCTTTGCCAATCTTGCTATGCTAAATGCCAATGGTAGAACATTTTATAAATGTTTTCTTTATAGGCCATGGACATTGTTAATTTATAGTTTTGGGTCCATAATCTTTCCCAGTGTTCTAATTCTATACTATATCCAAAATTTCTTGCCCATGCTATCATGGATCCTTTAACTGCTACTTCTTCCATATTAAATTTTTGGGATCTTTTGTTTATTTTTAAACCAGGTAGCCATGCTTGTGTTGGCTTGGAAATTGGATGCTCAGAATATGGGCTATTTTACATTGCAAGAATGGCTAAAAGGAATGACATCCCTGCAGTAAGTATTATTTCTATTATCAAATGTGAAATAGCTCCAGTAGTGATCTATTGTCCTCTTGCAAAGTTGATCTTGCACGTCTATATAAAGTAAAAAAAAATCTGTACTGTCTTATCCAATAATTTTGTGAAGATGCATAAAACATCTAGGAGCTGTGGTAACGCAGTGGTTAAAATTCAGTGCTGCAGGCCAACTCTGCCCACTGCCAGGAGTTCGATCCTGTCCAGTTCAAGGTTGACTCAGCCTTCCATCCTTCCGAGGTGGGTAAAATGAGGACCCAGATTGTTGTGGGGCCATATGCAGACATCTGTAAACAGCTCAGAGAATTCTATAAAGCACTATAAAGCAGTATATAAGTCTTAAGTGCCATTGGTATTTTTTTCTGAATATTTATGTGGTTTTATTTACTGTTCATCCCACAAGACTTGAGGGAGGTGACAAAGAATAAAAGAAATATATTCTATAAAAATTGGGATCATTCAGTATTTAAAAGCCTATCTTAACAGAAATACTTTGGCGCCTAAAACATTGTGGAACAACTGGTTTTTAAGCACTTCCGGTTGTAGTCAAGAGTCTCAAGAACAGCCATCCCCATGCCTTTCTCCCTGGCCCACTTGCCACTTGTCTCAATTGCACTCACTCATACACTATCTACTTCCAGAACCAGCTCATGACCATTCTTTCCCCTGAAATCCTTCTCCCACTAGGTCCCAAGTAATGGGGGTTAAAGCCCCTCCCCTCCTTTGGGGGAGAGCAATTTACAGTGCCCCACCTACCTTAGGAGCCTGCCCTAGATCTTCCCCTTATGTATGTTGTAGATGGATTTCTTTCACATGCTTAAGTGAAGAAAGGCTGTTGTACAGTATAATTTTGTGAGAGATTTTTTTTTGGAAAAAGACGTCTCACATTTTAAAAACAAGGGATTTAGAAGTTGTGGGGGTGATTGCAGCAATTTGTCTCCATAACATTTAAATCGCTTATTCATGACAACGATTAACTTTACAGGTGTGACACAACAGAGAAGCTAAGAAATTCTTTGGATTACTTGAGATCTTTATTAAACGAGCCTATGAATTTTAAGCTTATTTATAGATATGCGTTTGACTTCGCACGTGTGAGTAGCCTTAAATTCTGTTACATCTTTCAGTAAATCATGGCTAAAATGAGAAAACCATGTGGGATGCTTTATTTCCTCTCCTAAATTGTTCGCTTGAAAAGAAATACACTTGATTTGAAACTGAGGGGAGAAATTAACCTTGCTTACCTGAAGGGCAAAGTACATTACATTCTAGTTGGAAGCATATTGTGAGGAGGAGCCCCAGGTATTGGCTGCACCTCCGTTTCTGACCCATTGCAAACCATCAGGACTTGCAAAATACAACCTGTCCAAACCATACATGTTGTTCCAGAGCCTTCCAAAATTTTATTTTATTTTTAAATCATGTTAATAATGTCATAGAATGTTCTATCCACGGTTTTTGCCCTCAAAACAATTTTGTGTGTCATGGAAGTGATGTCAATTTGAAACATTTTCATGCCTCCAATATTTAATGGGACAGGAAGGGAAGTATTAAATATATGGGAAGTTGTCATTTGATAAGTGTTAAATGAAAGTTAAAATACTAAAGTGTTAATTTTTTAAATGCTTTCTCTTGGCTCTTCCTGCTTCTGAGATTGTGGATTGTACTCAAGAGTCCAGAAGAGGCCATCAGTCTAAAACATTGTATATATCCCTGGTCTTTGGAGCTGATCATTGTAACAAGAAGAAGTCACTATTCCTTTCTATTATCTTAATCACAGAATGGGATGGTGTAATTCATGCAGATGGGAATATGTCTCTTAGTATGTGAATAGGTCACTTCCTGGGTTTTGGAAGTATGTCTTCATACTGAAGATAACATTAAATACTGTAACAAACTCTAGAAAGAGTGCAGAGAATAGTAACCAAGATGATAATGAGTCGAGAGACTAAACAGTATCATCAATGGTTAAGGGGACTAGGTGTCAACTCATAAAACAGGTGTCAGGTATGCTTAGTCTAATAAAAAGAAGGATTAGGTAGCTGTCTTCTGCTACTTGAGGGCCTATCCCAGGAAGGAGAGGGTCAACTTCCAAAGTACCAGATGGCAGGACAAGAAGCAATGGATGGAAGTTTGTTAAAGAAAGATCTGGAACAAAGGAGGAATTTCCTGAAGTAAGAACAATGAATTAAATCTTTAGGGACTCTAGCTTCACTGCCCAAGCATTGATCAAAACAGAAAGCAAGGGAATGCTAGATAAGAGCTGGATTATACTTTTTTTGAGGAATAAATTGATGTGTCTCTTAGCTCAACTGAGCAATATTACAAGTATTTTTTTTTTTGTTCCTTCTGACAGGAAAAAGATCAGCGAAGCCTAGATATGAATACTGCCAAGTGTATGCTAGGACTCCTCTTAGGAAAAACATGGCCCCTCTTTCCAGTATTTCATCAGTTCTTAGAGGTACAAGTAGAAAATAACTTATGTATTTTTTTAAAACGAAGCATTAAAATTAAACTTGAGAATCAATAGTGAATTAATTGAAAATGTTGCAATGTAATAACTATTTACAATTACAATGAACACAAATAGTTATATCTAAATTTGATAATTCTTTTTTTTTTTTTTTGGCTTGGAATTTTTGCTAGGAGTAATGTCTATTAACTCGAGGTTTCCTTGTTAAATTGTGTTTTTATTGCAATGGTGTCTTTTGCATCAATTATTATTATTATTATGCAAATGCATTAGATGTAAATGACAGACATCTGGATCTAACACATTCCGTTCTCTAAAGTGATCCATTATATTGAGGCTGAACTAATATGCAAAGTATCTATTTGTGATTTCTGAAAAGGAAGAGCAGGCAACAGTATTTTGTAGGCTTACTTACTGTAAAAGAGACAAAGATTTATTTAAAATTCTCCATGCAATGTATCCCAGAAAAATGGATTCTTGATGGCATCCTCCTTTCATCTGATTTTGTCATGTTTTGGAGGGAAGATATTTTTTGCTGTGTTTGGTAGCCTTCAATGTTATTGCTATTATAATTGTATAAAAGAATATCACACCTTCTATTATATTTGCAAAATTAGCTTTTGCATTTGACTTTGTTCAAAAGGTGTTTTGAATAACTGCTGTTTTTGTTTTAAGTAGCAATCTAAGTACAAAGTTATCAACAAGGACCAATGGTGCAATGTTCTGGAATTCAGTCGATCCATTAATCTTGACCTCAGCAATTATGACGAAGATGGAGCATGTACGTATGATCAGGAAAGACAAAGAATCACTTCACATCATATCTGTGATCTCTCTATGCCTTTTTTGTGTTTTTGCAATGTTTTTTTTTTACAAAAATGTCTCCTTCTTTCTTTAAGGGCCAGTGTTGCTGGATGAATTTGTGGAGTGGTATAAAGAGAAACAAATGACATAGGAATTTTAACTATGCACAGCTGCTCAAGAGCCTTTGTTACTACAGTTAATGTCAACCATTAGCCATAAACTTCTCTTTGTATATAAAGCGCATGCTGCTTTTCCTGCACTGTATCCCATTTTCAGGGATTTTTTTTTTTTGGGGTGTTTGCTGTTTAACAGGCCAGCTCTGCTTGCTGTGTACCATTGTTCTCTCCAAAAAGGCTGCTTTGCGTTTTGTCTCTACACTACAGATGGTGAACTTGCCAGCATCCTCACTGTGACTAATGTGAATATTGCTGTCTAAACTTTGTATATGTGTATAAAAAAAAAAAAGCTTCATCTAGGAATGTTTTCAGCAGGAAAGGTATTATAAAAAATAATTTTGTCGCATTCAAGTAACCACGTAACTTAATTTTTAATTGACTGGGCCTCCGGCATAGCATTTCAGGGAAAGTGATTGGGGGGGGAGGGGGTTTGCCTACGTAGAACTATTGCTAGTTAGTAATAGTTGTTTTAGGATGCCAGTTTTTGAAGGAAAATCTTGAAAGTAGGGTTTCCTTGGCAGTGTCCAGCTTTGTTTTTATTTAAGAAGCAATTATTGGTTACCATTTTAATTGAAACTCTTTAATCAATTGTTACAGCTTGAACAGAGTTGTACATGCCATAGTAACTTCCATATGGCAATAATGCTAATTTTCTCATAGTCAGATGCTGTAGTTTGCTAAGAGGTACAGATTATCTAATTAAACATCTGATTAAAAAAGGGTTTTAGACTTGTAACATGGCATATTCTTTTATTTTATTGTTATTCTTGTTCCCAGAGTGTTTTGATGATCTGGATAAAGACAGAATGAAGTCTTGTTTCAAAACACAGCCTAAATGTATGAATGTATTTCAGAAACTGGAATCAAAGCTTAGCCTGAAAACTCGGCATGGCTGCGTTTATATTCCAGGTATTGAATTTCCCAGCAAAATGCCAATTACGAGCAACATCTACTCTAATCAAAGCAGCATCATTATTTATTTGGAATCATTTTTTATCTGTTTGGACTGGGAAGTTCAAAGAAGTAGATGAATGAAGTAAAACTTTCTGTCTCACCTTTTCATCAGTCTTCATAATACAGTTCAATGTACATTTCTATAATTTTTTTTTTTTTACTAAGGTAGCTATAGACTTATTGAAACTGCATTCAAAAATCCATTGGTCGTTGTTCAATCACCCAAGAGTTCATTGTGAAATTTGCAATAAAATGTGAGCTTGCCTTTTCTTTTACAGAAAGTTAAAAGCTACATGAACATTCAGAATTTAGGAATATAAATTAAGCTTCAGTGACAAATTAGTACAAACCACTTATTTTTATTTTCAAAGCACTGAAGGTATTTGTAAAGGAAAAAAAACCATGTATATCATAAACACACGTAGCCTCTTTAGGGCTCAATACTTCTAAAAAAACAAAATAAGAAAAATAAAGGACCAGAATCCAAAGAGATCCACATGCAAATGTGATTCTGTCCAGAACAGGAGCTGTGGGAATGAAGCTTTTTTCTCTTTCTTCTTTTTCTTTTTCTTTCTTTCTTTCTTTCTTTCTTTCTTTCTTTCTTTCTTTCTTTCTTTCTT